CATCTTCTCAGTTTATCCCGTTCTCCAATCCGACCACCACAAGGGAAGCTGAAAGTTAAGTTTAATTTTCTTCCCAATGATAGTCCAGTGGTCTTTTTGCCTCTTGGGTCACAGGGAGGCTCGTTCATGATTAGATAATAAGAGTAAGCACAACAACACGGAGCAACAGCGCGCTGTAGAACTTAAACCATACTTTTGCAAAGAAAGCGCCTTTCCCTGCTGTCGCAGCTCACAACTGCTCCTGCATGCTGCTGAGTGGCCATGTGAAGCCGAATAACTCATTCAGCAACTCACTCACCTCTACGACGTTCTTCAACATCCACAGATTGATTACTTTGCTGCTGGAGTGAGAGGGCAGGCAGGCAGCCAACAGCCAAAAAAACTGAGCGCTCCGCAAGCAACAAGGCAGACTAAGATCAATCCCACAAGTGGTGCAGCGAACTTTGCGAGAGGAGTTGGAGAAAGACAAGAGGAAATCAGCAAGTGAAGGGTAAGTTTTCGTTGTTGCTTGTGAGACAATCTCTCTGTTAGGACCTGCAGGGAAAGTGCTTCGCTAGCAGGGAAAGTGCTTCGGCTACTGGCTTCTGCCATTAGCTGAAGTATGGCCGAGAAGCTTGCTCCCGTGGGCTCTACGCCCACGGGAGTGAAGATCTAGTTTTAGAGGAGGAGGACGTGGTGAGCTCTGAGGACAAGACCGACTTAGGGCTGGAGAGAGAAAGGCTGGTACGACACCAGCAAAAATTGAGAAAGAATGGCCCCCCAGTAGTGCCGCAGGGTAATCGCCGCCCATACCAAAGACCCTCAAGCGCCACAGACGTCTTGAGCCGCCCGTTGCCAGCTCTCCCAACTGTTGCAGATGATGCTGGCCAAGAACGAAATTAGCAGCGGCCCATGTTGAGGAAGTAATAGTTGGCAGGTCTGGTAGCCTGTGCATGAACAACAACATTTTGATTCAAGGAGTTCAAAAAACCATCACTGATCTCTTATCGTTCGACCAACTATGGTGAACCTTTCCTTCAATTATATAAACTCTTTGGGTTTGCCACCTGTGTAATGAACAAGTGTCTATATGCAAGGTTTCGGCTTTCTTAGAATCATATCATCAGTCAGTGACAAAATGCAGTCATAGAACATCTTCCATCCTCTCATCTTCTCAGTTTATCCCGTTCTCCAATCCGACTGCCACAAGGGAAGCTGAAAGTTAAGTTTAATTTTCTTCCCAATGATAGTCCAGTGGTCTTTTTGCCTCTTGGGTCAAAGGGAGGCTCGTTCATGAATAGATAATAAGAGTAAGCACAACAACACGGAGCAACAGCGCGCTGTAGAACTTAAGCCATACTTTTGCAAAGAAAGCGCCTTTCCCTGCTGTCGCAGCTCACAACTGCTCCTGCATGCTGCTGAGTGGCCATGTGAAGCCGAATAACTCATTCAGCAACTCACTCACCTCTACGACGTTCTTCAACATCCACAGATTGATTACTTTGCTGCTGGAGTGAGAGGGCAGGCAGGAAGCCAACAGCCAAAAAAACTGAGCGCTCCGCAAGCAACAAGGCAGACTAAGATCAATCCCACAAGTGGTGCAGCGAACTTTGCGAGAGGAGTTGGAGAAAGACAAGAGGAAATCAGCAAGTGAAGGGTAAGTTTTCGTTGTTGCTTGTGAGACAATCTCTCTGTTAGGACCTGCAGGGAAAGTGCTTCGCTAGCAGGGAAAGTGCTTCGGCTACTGGCTTCTGCCATTAGCTGAAGTATGGCCGAGAAGCTTGCTCCCGTGGGCTCTACGCCCACGGGAGTGAAGATCTACTTTTAGAGGAGGAGGACGTGGTGAGCTCTGAGGACAAGACCGACTTAGGGCTGGAGAGAGAAAGGCTGGTACGACACCAGCAAAAATTGAGAAAGAATGGCCCCCCAGTAGTGCCGCAGGGTAATCGCCGCCCATACCAAAGACCCTCAAGCGCCACAGACGTCTTGAGCCGCCCGTTGCCAGCTCTCCCAACTGTTGCAGATGATGCTGGCCAAGAACGAAATTAGCAGCGGCCCATGTTGAGGAAGTAATAGTTGGCAGGTCTGGTGGCCTGTGCATGAACAACATCGGACGGCCGAGACCAAGAACTGTCTGCGTTCACTCGGGGAAGGGGGCTATTGACTGCAAGGCCCTCATTGCCAAGTAGTAGACGTACCTCCTGGAGCCCACTCACGTCCAGAGGCTCCCAAATGGGGACCTGGAAGTCACCTTCCCCACAGAAGCGGACAAAAACAGGTTCCTTGGCCTTTGTTTCATGCGCCACCCACGTCGCCCTTGGCAACCAGGGCTCCGAGATCCACCCCCTGCGTGGGTGAGGGTTTTTAACAAGCCAGGAGAGATACGGCCGAAGTGGTAGAGAGGAGGCTCAGTCGGTTCGGCCGGGTTCCGTTTGCTAGGGAGAATACCCACCCTGGTACAAATAAGTTGAACAGGGTCATGACTCTTGAAATGATCATGACCGAGCCTATTCCAAGTTATGTGCAACTGGGTCCTACCTGTTTGCTTGTGCGACACGAAGGGCAACCTATGATGTGTCGTAAATGTGACAGCAGGACCCACCTTGCCGCAAACTGCCAGCTCTCCCAACTGTTGCAGATGATGCTGGCAAAGAACGAAATTACGCTGCTGCAGTTGGAAGAGCAGCGGCCCATGTTGAGGAAGTAATAGTTGGCAGGTCTGGTGGCCTGTGCATGAACAACATCGGACGGCCGAGACCAAGAACTGTCTGCGTTCACTCGGGGAAGGGGGCTATTGACTGCAAGGCCTTCATTGCCAAGTAGTAGACGTACCTCCTGGAGCCCACTCACGTCCAGAGGCTCCCAAATGGGGACCTGGAAGTCACCTTCCCCACAGAAGCGGACAAAAACAGGTTCCTTGGCCTTTGTTTCATGCGCCACCCACGTCGCCCTTGGCAACCAGGGCTGCGAGATCCACCCCCTGCGTGGGTGAGGGTTTTTAACAAGCCAGGAAAGATACGGCCGAAGTAGTAGAGAGGAGGCTCAGTCGGTTCGGCTGGGTTCCGTTTGCTAGGGAGAATACCCACCCTGGTACAAATAAGTTGAACGGGGTCATGACTCTTGAAATGATCATGACCGAGCCTATTCCAAGTTATGTGCAACTGGGTCCTACCTGTTTGCTTGTGCGACACGAAGGGCAACCTATGATGTGTCGTATATGTGACAGCAGGACCCACCTTGCCGCAAACTGCCAGCTCTCCCAACTGTTGCAGATGATGCTGGCCAAGAACGAAATTACGCTGCTGCAGTTGGAAGAGCAGCGGCCCATGTTGAGGAAGTAATAGTTGGCAGGTCTGGTGGCCTGTGCATGAACAACATCGGACGGCTGAGACCAAGAACTGTCTGCGTTCACTCGGGGAAGGGGGCTATTGACTGCAAGGCCTTCATTGCCAAGTAGTAGACGTACCTCCTGGAGCCCACTCACGTCCAGAGGCTCCCAAATGGGGACCTGGAAGTCACCTTCCCCACAGAAGCGGACAAAAACAGGTTCCTTGGCCTTTGTTTCATGCGCCACCCACGTCGCCCTTGGCAACCAGGGCTGCGAGATCCACCCCCCGCGTGGGTGAGGGTTTTTAACAAGCCAGGAGAGATACGGCCGAAGTGGTAGAGAGGAGGCTCAGTCGGTTCGGCTGGGTTCCGTTTGCTAGGGAGAATACCCACCCTGGTACAAATAAGTTGAACGGGGTCATGACTCTTGAAATGATCATGACCGAGCCTATTCCAAGTTATGTGCAACTGGGTCCTACCTGTTTGCTTGTGCGACACGAAGGGCAACCTATGATGTGTCGTATATGTGACAGCAGGACCCACCTTGCCGCAAACTGCCAGCTCTCCCAACTGTTGCAGATGATGCTGGCCAAGAACGAAATTACGCTGCTGCAGTTGGAAGAGCAGCGGCCCATGTTGAGGAAGTAATAGTTGGCAGGTCTGGTGGCCTGTGCATGAACAACATCGGACGGCTGAGACAAAGAACTGTCTGCGTTCACTCGGGGAAGGGGGCTATTGACTGCAAGGCCCTCATTGCCAAGTAGTAGACATACCTCCTGGAGCCCACTCACGTCCAGAGGCTCCCAAATGGGGACCTGGAAGTCACCTTCCCCACAGAAGCGGACAAAAACAGGTTCCTTGGCCTTTGTCACCCACGTCGCCCTTGGCAACCAGGGCTGCGAGATCCACCCCCTGCGTGGGTGAGGGTTTTTAACAAGCCAGGAGAGATACGGCCGAAGTGGTAGAGAGGAGGCTCAGTCGGTTCGGCTGGGTTCCGTTTGCTAGGGAGAATACCCACCCTGGTACAAATAAGTTGAACGGGGTCATGACTCTTGAAATGATCATGACCGAGCCTATTCCAAGTTATGTGCAACTGGGTCCTACCTGTTTGCTTGTGCGACACAAAGGGCAACCTATGATGTGTCGTGGAGAGAGATTCTCACCCACGCAGGGGGATGGATCTCGGAGCCCTGGTTGCCAAGGGGGACGGTGGGTGGCCGCATGAAACAAAGGCCAAGGAACCTGTTTTTGTCCGCTTCTGTGGGGAAGGTGACTTCCAGGTCCCGCATTTGGGAGCCTCTGGACGTGAAGTGGGCTCCAGGAGGTATGTTACTACTTGGGCAATGAGGCCTTGCAGTCAATAGCCCCCTTCCCACGAGTGAACGCAGACAGTTCTTGGTCTCAGCCGTCCGATGTTGTTCATGGCAGCAGGCCACGCAGCCTGCAACTAATTACTTCATCAACATGGCCGCTGCTCTTCCAACTGCAGGCAGCGTAATTTCGTTCTTGGCCAGCATCATTGCAAAAGTTTGGGAAGAGCTGGCAGTTTGCGGCAAGTGGGTCCCCTGCTGTCACATAT